GGTCTAGTGGTTTATTTTGTTTGAGTAATAGATTGATAGGAATTTGAGAATTTTGCTCAAGATTTTCAGAGTGAAGGCTAACAGCTCTTAATATGTTTAAATCCAGTGCATATATGTCCTTATTTTTTTCACAACTTCGTTAGCAAGGACATGCTCAATAGTAATTTCATTTTTAGGCCTTTTAGAGATAATTAGATTTCTTTTTCTTGCTTTCACAACATTATGGATCATTTTGGTGGGCTTATGATTGGCGTTTTTGGGTATAGGTCCATTGAGCCATTTTTGTCAAGATTAATGGCATTTTGGCTATCCCATGAAAAGCTAGGCCCAGCTCTATTCTTGCTAATCTTTCTAGCCTCTCTTATTAATCCCTTTCCTTTAGCATTTTGGGCCTCTACTTCTTGGTCCTTTAGTCTTGCCCTTTTAACACCAAAGACATCTTTCTTCTTCCAAATCTATTTAATAGGTTTTATAGGTGAGGTCGGCTTAGTTATACCATAGTTGGTAGCAGAGCCATCTCTTCCCTGCTCTTCAGTGTTGTGGTTGAGCTCTGCAAGGATGTTGTATCTCATTCCATAAGATGGCTTAGGACCTTTGTTGTGATGTGATGATCGATTAGCCATTGGGTTTCTCGAACTCTGTGCACTCCTTGTGCATTTGGACTCTCATCTAAATTTCATGAATTCCCTAAATTCTTCTTCCAGCAAATTCTGGTAAGATTCTGGTGAGCCCCCAGTTTCATTATTTTCTTTTCTTCTTTCTCTACTACGATCTTTAAGAACGCCTGAATCTTATTCATTCTTCTTTTTGGGTTGATTTTCAGCAATCCCTTTAGCTCTTTCTGAAGTTTTGTTCAATGGATTATGGGGGCAATTAGTCTTGTTATGACTGTAACACCCACAACCAAAACAAATTAAATTTAAACTCTCGTACTTGACGTTATAGAGTTCATCTCTAATTAATAATCTGGGCACAAGTTTCATTTGGAGATCAACTTGTACATTGATCCTTACTAACTTGCCTCTTTTATTTTTTCCATTTTCATCTATAGGGTTTGATTCGGATAAAGAATTGAAGTCCACTTTCAGAGTTTTTCCTATGTAGTTTCCTAATCTCCAAAGAATTTCTCTATTGTTGCATTGTATTGGGATGTTTGAGAGTCTAACCCATAGATCAATTTTGCCTAAAATGTTAGAGTTTGGGTTAAAGCTAGGATACTACCTCTGAACAAGGATACAGTAATCAAATATTATCCAAGGACCACTAGTGAGGATTTTGTCATAAGCAGATTGGTTTGTAGTTTTAGTAATATAGTAACTATTAACAAGGTCAATCAATTCAAAGTCTCTGAGTTGCCACATTCTTGCTAACTTGGGTTTAATAGATTTAGGATTGAGTTGTAGGCCTAGTGTGTTGATAATAGTTGCATCCATCCAAGGTAGACAAATTTTCTTTGATTCATCATTGGAGATTTGAAGACCATGATATTGATCCATCAATTTCTTAGTTCTTTCTAATGGTGACCACTCTTACTCTAATTCTTTAGCTAGAGCTTCATTTCTATAGGTATTGTCTCTCCCGAAGGAAATTCCATAGCATCTGTTATAACCAATCAAGGACTCTTTATGAGAAATAGGAATTCTAGCCCCTTGAATCTCTATAGATGTTTTGTTTGTCTGTGCATGTTGTTATGAAGCATCATTTATATGAATGTCCACTGGTTGCTCTTGATGTTTGTTTCCTAGTAGCTCAAATTGGATGTAATTGATCTGTTGCATTTGCTGTTTGGGTTGCTGAATTGAATCTGACCCTTTGTCTATCATTTCATGATCAAGTTTTGAAATGTTTCTGTTGAGTAAATCAGTCTCTTCCTTAGAATCAGGAGGATTCAAACTTTTTTTTTGAAGATGGAGGTGTTGAGAAGATGAAGTTAGGGTCAAGATTGTGATTAGATTCATGTCAAGCATGAGGTGAAGAAAAAATTGAGAAAAATAAGGAAAAGATGAACCTTCTCTCTAAAAAACTAGAGAGAAGGTGGAGCTTCTCACTCTAAATAAGACTTTAGAGCAATTGGTATTGTTTTTTTTTTTTTTAAGTGCTTGTTCAAGGTCAGATTCGTCTCTTTCTCCCATCTATTGTTTAACATTTCGTATTTCATGCGCTTTTGGTAAGAGAATCAGCACAATTTCATGCGTGCAGTATGAGACTGCCTTTAAATTCAACATTTTGTTTTTTTGGTGAACTTTAAATTCAATATTTCAAATTAGAACAACCATTAAAAATCTATTAGAATTCTATTTTGAAACGTTATGATTTGAATGTAAATTAAATAATTCGTGATTAAAGTAATATGTTTTGAATTTTATAAATTAAATTAATTTGTAAAAGAATATAGTAATGAATCTTATAAATTAATATTTAAATTTATACAGATTAATATTCAAACAAAATATAAATTGAACTTAACATAAAAAACTAATGATTAATCTTCATGCTCCTCAATATGTATCTTCATTGTTTTTTTTTTAATAAAATTATATTTTATATTAGTAGGATCCCAAGAACTCAATTCAGGCTTAAAGAGTTCTTGCAAAGTTACAATAAAAATTACATATAGTTAATTGTAAGGTCCTCACATTGATAACAAAACTTATAAGATTATAAATTATTAGTCAAATTCTTATCAATGTACCAATCTTTGTTAACTAACTTCATTTTTTTAATAATTATGTGCAACAGGTTGTCAATCAATGGAACAGTAACTAGAGCTTTTGTTGTTTAATTCTCAATATTACTATTTTCTCTATAAATATAATTTATTTTCAATTTTAAATACGTCTTTCTAATAATTATGTGCAACAGGTTGTAAACCAATGGACTAGTAATTAGACCATTTTTTGTTTAATTCTCAATATTACTATTTTCTCTATAAATATAAGTTATTTTCAATTTTAACTGCGTCTTTCTAACCAAAAAAGATTAATAATTTTTTTTTGTTTATCTATAATTAATATTATCAATTGAAAATCTAATTCTTTTTATACTCTTTAAATAAGGGTATTCTTTTAAAAAAGGTATTAAACATATAATAAATTCATGAAGAGTAACGTATACCTAAAATCAAACATCCTTGTCAAACGTGAATTGTATTTAAGAACGCTGTATAATATGCAACTTTAAATAAATTATGAGTATAACTTAATTTTCTTAACACTTATTGTGACACATGAATATATGATCATATGAAGATGCAATGCGAGCACACCTTGGGTTTGTTGATTTTATATAAAATTTTAAGTTGGGATAATAGAACTTGTAATTCTTTAAATTTGATTCACTTATCAATATAGTTCTTCAAATTTAATTTTTATCAACTTGATCATTTATGTTTTTTAAATTATATAACATGCTAGTCCTTTAAATTTCAAAACAAAAATTAACTTTTAAATTAATCTAATATATAAAGTATATTAATGATTTCGCATATTGATATAACTAAATGAAAACAAATTAACTACTCTTACCGTTAAAAAATATAAGGCATTTTTAATTGAATCTCACCGCCCAATAAAGTAGTTACTTACTTTCAAATTAATTTTATGTTTTCATATTTACCTCTATTAAATACCCTACAATAAATATAAAGTTATTATCAATAAAAAAAATTTAAAAAAATAATGATTATACCTCAAAAAATTAAAAATATCTTACATTTTGAAACATTCAACTCTTCAAAAAATATCACATATTTTTAAACGGAGGGAGTATCAAAATAATTTAATTTTTATTAATTTAGTTCTTTACTTAGTTTTTTATTATTTTTTTCTTTTGTAAAGTTTTTCAGTCTACTTTTTTAACTACCTAAGTAATTATACTTCTTTTCATTAATGTCATCAAAATTTTGTTATCCATATCAATAGATTTAAGTAGTTTTACTTCATCTTTAAATAAAAAAGATTAAATTGATAACTAAAAAAAATTTAAATAAAAATTAATATAAATTAAATTTAAGGGACAAAAATCAGTAACCGAGACAAGCCTTAGAGATAAAATGTTTGATTATCCCTAATGTTAATTTAATCTCTTAATTTAATAAATTATTTTATAAGTTATCTAACCTTAACATCTTTAAATTTATTGACGAAAAATGTTGACGTTGTAATTTCAAATAATAATGAAATTTATTGGATAACACTATGAACACAATTGGTCCCAAAAAAAAAAAAGCACACTATGATCACATATATAACATTGATTTTTTTGAACAAAAAAAAAGTTAACACATATTATAAAACAAGGAAAAATGACAATAAAATATCACTAAATTATATAAATAATAATTTAATCCCTTAAAATGTCATAATTCTATTAAAGTTCTTCAGAAATTTTTTATCAATAAATTTTAAATTAAAAATATTATTTTACTTTTATTAATAAGTTATAATTTTTTGTTCAATTCTTACATTTCTTTAAATAGAAGTTGTGATTTTTTAAACAAAAATTATGAATGAGTTTTGTAATTTTAAGAATTTATTTTTCAATACTAAAAATTACACTTGATAAATTATGATTTCTTGTTTAACTTTTACTATTTATATAATAAAAGTTGTTATTTTTTAAGTAAAAATTATGACTAAAATTTATTTTTTAATAATAAAAATTACATTTAACAAGTTATATTTTTTGTTTAATTTTTATTATTTATAAAATAAAAATTATAATTTCTTAAATAAAAATTATAATTGAAGTTTATTATTTTTAATTAAAATAAAAAAATGTATTTTAAAATTTATAACATAAAAATTTTTAAATACTTTATTAAAATTATAATATTTTAAAAAATTAAATTGTTATTATTATCATTTTCTCTTAAAATAATTGAAATACTGAAAATTAAATTGTCCCATTCCCTCTCTCTGTATCCGTATGCCTCCCATGTCATTCTCTATAAAGCCTAAGCCCGTTGTAGCCATTTCCACCGAAACAAGCTTCTCTCTCTCTCTCTCTCTCTCCTCTCTCTCTCTCTCTGTATATATATATATATATATAACGCACCCCCTTCTGTTTCCGAACAAACCAAATTAAGCTTCATTTATACATTCTCTCTGGTTCTCTGATATGGGAGTTCCGGTGGGTTGCGCCGAGCTCGTTTTCCCGAAGCTTCTCATCCAGATCCTTGCCGTATTTGGATTCCTCAGAACAATCACATCGTTCCTCCTTCGCTCCGTGGGCCTCCCCGATTTCCTCGAACCGGACATTCATTACTTCTGGGATTCTCAAGAGAACGCGTATTTTTACCCTACCCGACTGCCCGAATTCGAGTCGGCGAGCTCGGTCCTGATCCGAGAGATGCTGCCGGTGGTGAAGTTCTCGGAGCTTGAGGCGGCGCCAGAGAGCTGCTGCGCCGTGTGTCTGTACGAATTCGACGGCGACGATGAGATCCGACAGCTCACAAACTGCACGCACGTATTCCACCGAGGATGTCTAGATCGTTGGATGGGATACGATCGGAGAACGTGTCCGTTGTGTCGAGCACCGTTCACACCTCACCATATGCAAGCAGCTTTTAATCACTCTCTCTGGGCTGCTTCTGGTATACCTGAATTTTACCCAGAATCTGATTCTGAATTATTATTATGATCTTTCTTCTTTGTAATTAACTGTTGATTCTTGTCTTCATAATTCCCTGGAAGCTGAGATCTGGGGATGGGTCATCGATTCATCATTCATCGATGATGTATGCGTATGTGTGTATTGTGTATTATGTATATGTATACCGAGAAATAGAGTACTAATGGAGTGGATTAATCAGTATGAAGTTGGGGGTTCTCATTTCAGAATACGGGTTCGGATCCGGTTTTTTATCAATGCGGGTTGATTTTTTTTCTTTTTTTTGAATGGAAAAGTTAAAAGCATAACTAAGCAGTTAGAGGTGTCAATTAGGGCCGGCCCTTTAAGGGCCAGGGCCTAAACGGGCTGGCCTTTTTAAGCCCGATTATATATCAGGGCTCTATTTTTAGCAGCCCGGCCCTGGCCCTCAGGGCTTAAGGGCCGGCCCTCAGGGCCCTGGCCCTAATTATTTTTTATTTTCTAATTTAAAAATTTTAAAAAATATATTTAAAATCCTAATAAAGTTATTACACATCACATTAAATCTAAAAAAATAAAATAAAATCAATTCACACAATAAAAGTTTTAAGTCTAATAAAAAAAATCCCAAAATTAACTCTGATATCATTTACACATTGGTAGCATCATCAACTAAATCTTGATGATTTTCATCATCAATATCAATATGATTTGATCCTTCTCCTTGTGGATCCTCATGGATGGCAAATATGTTAAGCTTTTTATATCTTCCTTCTTCATCCTCATTATCTGCAATACATAATAATTCAAAATTATAATTTCAAAGTATTTAAAGAATGGAAAAATATTCTAAGTAAGTAAATAATAATAAGTTACGCTTCAACTCAAAACCATGCAACCAATTACGAGTACAAATGATAGCCTCAACATTATCTGGAAGAAGAGAACTCCGATATTTTGTCAAAACACGTGAACCAATACTAAAAGCTGATTCACTAGCCACAGTAGTGATTGGAACACTAAGAATATCAGCAGCCATTCTTGAAAGAATTGGAAATCAATGTTGGTTGTTCCTCCACCAATTCAATACATCTAAATCTTTCCAATTATGAGGCTTAAGTATTGGTTCGTCCAGGTAATTCTCTAATTCAGACTTGTCCAAAGAAAAATCATCTATACTCGTATAAATATCTTGATAATCCTGCATTATAATTTCCAAATAATTAATAAAATATCAATTGAATACTAATAAAGTAAAACAATATTAATTGACAAAGTATTTAAAACTTACATCAAATGCATCATCAAAAGTGGTCGTTGATGATGTTGAAACACTTGCAGTGTGGGATGCACGATTTATTGTGACAGTTGAAGTTTTAGAACTTGATTCACCTCCAACACCGGTGGATAATGTCCCCATATTTGAATATTCATAAAAAATGAAATTTAACTTGCTCTTGATGTCAGCAACCTTCTCATGGCAAGTAATGGGGTCAATCTTTGAGTAAAAATATTGTATCATATTAAATTTCCATCGTGGATCAAAAATCACACCAAGTGCAAGGATGACACTATAATCAGTCCAATACTTGTCAAACTTCTCTTTCATTCTTGTGACCATCTCTTGAATGACAAGATCAACGTTCACCTTATTTGCATCAAGCAACATTTGAATTTTTGATATTTGCATAAAATACATATTTGAAGTGGGATATGATGAACCTGAAATCAACCTTGTAATCTTTTCAAATGGCCTTAAAAATGTGCACATTGCCTCTGCTCTATGCCACTCTTCATTTGTCAAGCCATGCTTGTAATTTAAATCATGTAAAGGCAATTGTAGAAAAGCACCACGGTATTTAACTCCACTCTCAAGCATAGCATAAGTGGAGTTCCATCTAGTGGGAACATCTAACCGCAAGCCCATTGAGGTGTCTATCCCACCAACTTGTTCAACAATTTTTTTGAAAAAAATCAGCCTTGCTTGTGATCCTTTTACATATTTAATGCTTTCCCTAATCTTATACAAAGCTGAGCTTGTGACTTTTAAGCCCTCTTGAACAATTAAGTTAAGGATATGGGCACAACACCTCACATGAAAAAATTCTCCATTACAAACCAAGCCATTTATCAAAGACAACCTCTGTTTCAGTATGTCTTGCATATTATCATTAGCAGATGCATTGTCTAGAGTGATTGTGAACACTTTCTTTTCAATTTGCCAATCTACCAAACACTCATGCACCTTTTTAGACAACTCTACTCCGGAATGTGGAGGATCCATCTTACAAAATGAGAGAATTCTACTATTTAATTTCCATTTTTCATCAACAAAGTGAGCTGTTAAACACAAATAGCCTTCAGAAGTCACAGAAGTCCAACAATCAGATGTCAAACAAATCCTACCAATACTTCTCTTAATCTTTTGTTTCAAATTATCCTTTTGATTGAGATAAAATTTCATAACATCTGCCACAGCTGTGTTTCTAGTAATAAGCTTAACATCAGGATTTAAAGTCATAATCAATTCCTTAATCCATGTATAATCAACAAATGAATAAGGCAGATCATGTACAATTATGGCCATGGTAATTATTTCTCGAATACGCTTAGCATCAACTTTTCGAGACCTAAGGTTTCCATCTTTATCCATCAACATAATCCCAACATCATGAAATTTTTCTAAAACTTTACATGACTTAACATGACGACTTAGATGTAAAGTTCCATTAGCCCCACCCGAAGCAAATAATCCCTGACAACCATTACATTGTGCCTTCACCTTATCATTAACAATAACTCGAGTAAAATACCTCCACACATCAGAAGTATAAGTTCTGCCCCTTTTAACTTCAACTTGGGACTCCTCAGTGTTTTGAGTTAGAGTAGCAGATACCTTTCTTTTTCCAGCACTAGGGGGAGGCAATAATTCTTTATCCTTAGATTGTGTTGCTGTTGATCTACTTCCACTACCTCTAGCGTCAACATTACTTCCAGAACCAATATCAATCGCTTTACTCTTTTGTGAGGAAGACATACTGAACTGTAAAAAAAAATTGATAAAATTCACAAAGCTTCCTTAATTTCAATGACTATGCAGAAAGACATATTTTATGGGTATAAGTCATTTTAACAGGGCATGGCAACAAATAATAATACCATATCTTAGGAATATTTTTAAAAAATAGATGTTCAGATTTCGGTTTCCCTATCATTTTGGCAAAGTGTTAATATTTTCCATACATAAACAGAATACTCAGATCAGATGAGGAATATACCGAGGACGAGAAAGCTCTGTTTTCTGACCAGAGAAGAATATACCGAGGAGGATGAGTTTCTGAGCAAGAATTTATCGAGGATGAGGAGGCTCTGTTTTTCGATCAGATAAGCAGAGCAGATTGATGAGCTGGAGAGGCAAAGAACAGATGCTGAAACTCAAAGTAATCACGGTCAGACGGCAAAGAAGATGGAGGATGATCGAACTGAGCTGAGGAAGATGAAGGACGATCAGATTGAGCACAAAAGAGAACCCAAAATCAGATTGGGTAGCTAAGTAGATGAAGCACGACCGGACTAAGCTGAGGCGACGGCGAGACGAGCTGACTGCAGAACAGGAAGATGAAAGAAGATGAGGCACGACTGCACGAATGAAGTTGAAAACTTGAAATGAACGAGACTAGGGTTTCTTGCTTAATGCTTACTCTGTTAATCATTCAGTCACGTGCGTCTGGAGTGGATTTGGACCGAGACGATCTGGACCGAGAGGCGAGAGGATCTGGATCGTGCGTGCAGTGTGCTAGAGGCCTGGAGTGGATCTGGACATCTGATCCCTGGAGCTCTGGACCGAGAGGCGAGACCAAGAAGGCAAGAACTGATGTTTTTTTTCAAAAAAAAATACTAGGGCTTAAAAGGGCCGGCCCTGACCCTAAAGGGCCGGCCCTTTTATTTTCGGGCTTAAAAGGGCTGGCCCTTTTAAGCCCGATTTAATTTTTTAAAATTAAAATATAAGCCCGGCCCTTAATTTTTTCGGGCCTAAAAGGGCCGGCCCTACGGGCTCGACCCTAATTGACGGCTCTAACTAAGCTAGTAGCAATACACGTGTAAAACCAAACAAATGAACAGAAAATCTTTGGTCGACTTCCACCCTTAAAGAAAAGTTGGTTGTTGATCAAAGATGTACAAAAACATTATCAAGGAAATGTCAAGTCCTAGCTAAACAATTAGCATTTATATTAGCTTCCTTGTACATGAAGTTGAGTGAGGCATTTCAATTCCTGTCCAATAATCTTTTAGACTCATCAATGATTACTTATTAAGGATTGTGAACACCGTATTTTATCCGGACATTTTTTTAATTTAATAATAAATAATCAAAAAATATAAAAAACACAAAATGAAATTTAATCCATTTTAGGATTATATTTTCAAAAAAAATAAATATAATAATTTAAAAAAATCAAAACAAACAAAGGTTAAATTTAAAAAAAAATCTCTCCTAAATTATTTCAATCATTCAAGAATATTGGGAGTTAATTTTTTAAGAGTTAAACTTTTTCTCTTTAAATCTTATTTTCCACTTAAAATATGTGTGTGTTAATCTAATAAAAAATATTAATAAAAATAAAAAAATAATAATACATGAGGGCCAGATGACACTGATCATCATAGCCCTAAAAGGGCCTCCCTTTTTCAACACACGTGGGCAGCACAGACGAAGGAATCAGAGGGCTGCATGGAAAAAAAGGGAAGCCACGCCAGCACAGACGAAGGAATCAGAGGACTGCATGGAAAAAAAGGGAAGCCATGCCAGCAAAACCAACATGAAGAGAGCAGACTTTTTGGCCGGAGAGCACAGAAGAAAAGACCAGACTGAAGAAGGAGAAGAGCAGACGCCAGCCGAAAACGCAGAGAGACAGAGATGAAGAAAGAGAGACAAAGAACCAGAGAGAAGAAAGAGTGACATAGAAAAAGAAGCAGACACAAAGTAGAGCAACAGAAACACGAAACACTAACGCAAAAAGCAAGCACACACATGCACGGAAAACACGCTTAAAAACAAAGCACGAATGAAATGCAGAAAAGAGAGAAAAAGAGAGCACGAGAAGGAGAGCACAAAAACGGAGGAAGCTTCAGCGAAAAGGACAGAAGAAGAAAACAGAAAAAGGGAAGTGAGGAAAACTGGAAAAGAGAGAGTATAAAAGGGAGGTCAAAGAAGGAGAAAAAAGGGAGACCGAGAAGGAAGCAACGTAAA